ATGACGTACAATTTAAGGTGACCTCTGGTCCCCCTACTATGGCTAATGTACAATATAAGGTTTCCTCTGGTCCCCAAAATGATGTACAATATATGGTGACTCCTGGTCCCCCTGTTGATGTTCAATATAAGGTGACCTCTGGTCCCCCTACTGATGTAGAATGTAAGGTGTTCTCTGGGTCCCTTTCTGTGGTCCCCTACTTATGCATGTTATGTACAATATAAGGTGTCTTCTGGTTCCCCTTCATATGTTGAATTCAATATGCCCTCTGGTCCCCCTACTGATGTACAGTACAAGGTGCCCTCTGGTCGCCCTACTGATGTAGAGTTTAAGGTGACCTCTGGTCCCCCTGACTATGTATGATATAAGCAGAAGCAGATAAGGTGACACACTGGTCCTCTTACTGATATACAATATTAGGTGTCCTCTAGTCCCCAACTGGTGTACATTAAGGTGTCCTCTTGTTCCCCTACTAATGTACAGTTTAGGTGACCTCTGGTCCCCCTACTTATGTACTATATAAGGCTATATGTACTATATTGCACTCCCTACTGATGTCCCCTTACTGATGTACAATATAAGGTGACCTCTGGTCCCCCTACAGATTTACAATATTACTTGTTCTCTGATCACGTTATGTTGTCCCCTACTGATGTGTACTATAATATTAAATTGAATAAAATCTTACGGGAGACCACAGGTCACCTAACGTAATCTATAAATGTTAAACGCTTTTAAATCATATATCGCATAAAATTGCAGTTAATGTTGCTCAGCACCCACCCTCCATCCCCTCTATCTTTTATAAAACCCTTCAGATGGTTATTCCTTTTAAAAATTGTTTGTTTTACACTTTAAAGGCTTCACAGTATTACGATTTATTCTACTTTCACTTTACGTATGCAACGCACTACATTTTGTAGCGGAGTAAACAGGCCCGATAGTCGTGAACTGAGCAGGGGGACCTCAGGGCCTATTTCAGCGTACGTTTTATCCTTCTGCTGGTTATTCATGTTCATATTTAACGAATCATAATAAAAATTCTCTGGTAACAAACGATCGACTGTGTTTTTTTGCTTTTTCAACCTGCGCCTTTCTAAGTGAGGGCTACTGACACAATACATGTGATGTGCTGCACGTGTGGCTTGTCTTCAGTCAATTTTTAACAAAAACGTTTGTATAGCTTCTTCTGAAGATATTTCACAAAAGATGATAACGAACAACAAAGGCATGTTAATATTACTTACGTAACAATTAAATGCGATGAAGAAGTCCTCTGCAATCTCCCCGAGCCGTGAGCGGGTTTGTCAACATTCAGAACTGTGTCACAATGGCCGATTGATTTTTAAATACATGTATGGTGCGCCGCATATGTTAAAAATACAATTATTATACCCCCCGCTTGAAAAGCGGGAGGGTATATAGTAATCGTTAATTCCGTCCGTCTGTACGTCTGTCCGTCCGTCCGTCCGTCTGTACGTCCGTCCGTCCGTCCGTCTGTTACGCTTTGGGGTACCCATCTCTTATCCGCAACTCCTCTCATACCACTGAAGGAAATTTAATGAAACGTTCACAGAATCTTTATTACATATTGCCATTGTGCACCTCCTATTTTACTTTTTGATCTGACATATTTTTTCATTTGTTTGCCTTCCCCACTTCATTTTCAGAATAAAAAAAAAACTGTTTTAAAATTAAAACTTAGTTCAATAAACACTGTATCAGTTGTTTATAAGTTGACGTCTTAAAGCACCCCTCCACAGCGTAATAAAATTACGCGTCATCACTTGTTATACTCCTTTAATATAAACTTCAAAATGAGCATTTTCCCCATCATATATGTGAAAAATAAGAATACAGGGTTGAAGACAAGTTTTTCAAAGGTCTCTAAATTGTGATATTTTCATATTTTGACATTAGGCCGAATTTTGCTAAACATGGTCTGTGTTCTTTAAACAGCATTAGCATAATAAACAACAATAAAACTTATCAATGCATTTAAAAAAAATGCTAGTTAAATCCCATACAGCTGTTTATACACAGATCACTAATCTCGATGACCTTGTCAATCATGACGTCATTTTGGAAAAAGTGACGTATTTCATGTGCTGTGAGAGGCAGATTGAGGAATTTTTTAACAATGAAAAATGCGTTTTATTATAAAACAGAATGTTATTTACAGGTGTTAAATAGGCTCTCAATACCAATGTATATCCTTTGTTCAGTGCAATTATTCTTTAACTATCGAGAGAATGTATTTAAATAATTTTGTCGTGTTTTTGTGTTTAGGTTAGGCATATTTTACATCGAGGTGCCTAATTAAATCGTTCTTTCGCAAGGGCATTCACTAAATAAATCTTAACCGTTTTTGAATATAAATAAAAGATATGTTCCTTAACTTGAAAAGTGCTGCTGCATTCTTTAAATCGATTGACAAGTTTTAAAATTATCATCATACTTAACATGTTCATTTGATCCACGTTGCATTTGTCCGATATCAGTAAAATACATTGTAAAAAAAAAGGGAGAATATGCCATGCAGTTCTTTATTTCATTGACGTTATGTATATATTAAAAGTTTTTAGTAAAACTGTTATACTTTTTTGAAGAATAAAACTAAGTTTATAATTGTTTTATTGTTTTTTCTACGTCTCATTCGATTTTTTTTTCTCATACACATGCAGAATGGTCACCATATAAGGGGAAAGTTTTCAACTTGATTTTTATACTCGGTACGCAAGCCATTGAGAGTGAGAGTTATTTATTGTTCTTTCTTAATGAACCCGCTGAAATTAATGCAAAGGGTATCCTTAATGTTATTACTTATAGCTTTCTGCTATGATAAGCAGATAACACGAGGACGGAGAAAATTATATCTACTTCATGAAATATACAAGTTTGTAACTGAAATATTATTCCGCTTCAAGTAATACGGAGATGCTGCAAAATACAATTATATCGTAAGGAAGGCCTATAAAAATATATCTCAGAAAGGCACCTACTGAAAAAACAATTGATTGATTGTATATTATTTATTATACCTCTATTGATAATAGTCGAATTTGATTGGCTGGTAAGAAAACTTTAAAACACAACAATGACTCCAAATGGTACTGTTTAAAGCAATTCTGACCTAGGAATCATTGCACGTGGGATATAATGACCCGGTCATTATTTTTAATGACCACTAAAAATGACCGTTTAATCCAAAAATCGTTTTTGAGTGAAGTAAATGCATAAGATAATAATTATTCGGAAAAAAACAACATATTTTTAAAATTGTGCATGGTCCGTTTTGCATTACCATACAGAATTCGGTAAAATTTTATCGTTTCAATATTTCGTTACAATTCAGTTCATGGAATGTAGAGGCGGCTCTTTAAAGAGTTGAATTCTGTGTTAGATTTTGACTGTGTAGAGGAAAAGTAATCGTTAGTTATAACAATGTATGTCGCTATGAACCAAATATTGTTTTAATCAGTAAATCATGATGCAAAAACTTACACGACTTGCAGACGTCAATGTAAACAACTTCACTACCCGGTCTGTACCGAATCCCGATCCCGATCAAACAAAGAATTGATAATGGTTAGAGATTCATACTTTTCAATATATATCGGTATAATAAAACAATTAATTACCCCTTGTGAGTTCAACCCTCGACCTGGCCCACTCGATGACCTGACCTAACCTCGGCCGCTACGCGGCCTCGGTCAGGTCAGGTCACCTCGTGGGCCAGGTCTCGGGTCCTTATTTCACCATGTTGACCTCACAAGGGGTAATTAATTGTATATTAAAGTCCCTCTCGAGAATTTTTCACTCATATGGAGACGCCACCATTTGCCGGTGGAGAGCTGCAAATTTTGTCCTTTACTCGGCACTCAGGGTCATTGAGCAGGGAGGGATCTTTTTCGTGCCAGCACCTACTGCGACACGGGACCTCAGTTTATACGGTTTCATCCGAAGGACCGGTCTCCACGTCCCGCAGTTGGATTCGAACCCGCGACGTAATGATTGACTCCTTACTTCGCGACTCTAACCACTGCGCCACGCGGGCGACTACTGAAAAATGAAGTGAACTGTATTGACTGTTTTGTTTAATCATTTTGTGTTCATACATAACTTAATCACAGACTTTATGGATAGCTCAGAATTTATATTGAAGAATGAACTTCTGCAACCACACAACGGGTAATTGATGGCCGGCTGCATTGTAACATCACTTTTTACACAAATATGACTACACTTGGCGGAGAAACAGTTACTAACTAAATCAACCTTTTAGGTTTGTCATAGAACAAAGACCAGGGTTGAGCCCAAACATCGTAAGTGCAATTTTGAAATAAATGATCTATAGCCCAACCCCCATCCAACCACCCCCTCACCCCCACCCGCCCACCAACCACCCCCCCCCCCCAAAAAAAAAATAATAATAATAACGGAAAAGAAAGACAAGAATCCAATCAAACGACAAAACAAGTAAAGGCAGAAATATTAGCAAACACACAATTTTTTTTTTCAAATGCAGTCATATATATATATATATATATTTTGTATTAGGAATGGAACTAATGTTAATTTTTCATTTATACGCAATAAACTCAAACTCAAAAATTATTGCCTCAGTGTTTTTGTGCTTCTCTATCGTTATATTTTTCGTGGTAGGGGAGAATCGGGATGTAAAACCAGATCACACTTTAATCTGTTAGATCTCACGAACAACATATATATTATCACTATACTAAGCTTTCACGCTAAGTAATGTGACAATGGTGTGATTGGTCAACAGGACATGATTACTCATCCCATGCATCTGGTTCCACATCTGGGATTTCCGGAGGTCCGTGTTTATATCCTCTTCACAGATATTTTTTTTGGTAAAATCGATCATTTTTCGCTAACTTCATATTGTCATACATGTAACCTGCTGTAGCTGCATGCAGGTAATATGAAATGATGATTTCTAATTCGTCACAAAAAAGATATCAGGACATGCATCTGTTGAAATCACGTAAGTCGGTAAGCTTACAAGTATATAAAGTATGCTTATCAATACAACATGAAACAGCAATTATGAAACGAATGCTCTTACTTCTCTTGGTGTTGACCATAGTAAGTACACTTTGTTTTCATTCCATTTTTATCCGAACTAAAAGTCTTATTAAATTATGTTTTATAATACTTACAATATGATTTGTTTTATCCCCTTTTAATGTTTTATTGGATTGTATTGATTTTTTTCACGATGTCTCTGCGTCTCAATGGACTTTTGATGTTTGATATTATTTTGGTTTATCCGGTGTTTAATTCAGGTCGGATTGTCTTGCTCAAAAAGAAGAGAAAACAGAAAAAAAAACGTGCTTCACATGATACTTTTTTTTCGATTTCAGATCATAATTTTTTTTCATACTCTCTAAAATCATTATACAGTTAAAGTATATCATTTAGGGAGTGAGCAAAATTCCAGTTCCAGCGCAGCGCGCCTCGGGAAATAGTCCTGATATTGGGGAACTGGAATCTTGCTTACTCCCTCAATAATATACTTTAACTGTTTTATTATACCGATACAAATTTAAATTCTAAAGATCACCTTTAAAAAAATATCCATTTACAGATTAACTAATCATTTTTCACAATGAAAAGCTTTAAGAACCTCGAATTGGCATAACTAGCTTTCCACCGAGGGATTAGCTCAAAAGTCTTACGCACGGCGATTAGCCGATTCACAGCGATTTCTAGGGAATTGTTCAGATCTAATAACTTAATTCTATATAAGGAAATATCAGTAGAAGTATAATAATTGTATTTAAAACAATCTTTTCTTCATATCAAGTACTAAACATGTGGTTTCACCGTTTGTTTTAATTAGTCATACTTGTCCGTATTTCAGTTTTGAAAAAAAGCCGATGGTATGTTAATTTGAAAATGAAAAAGAAGGAATTAAGGACAGATGAGACGTTTCTCAATAATAGATAAATTTTTCTAAGAGTTTGCCATTGAAGTTTTGATACTAAAACATGTTTACTCACAAAAAATTGAGGTACCTTACCAGGCATTTCTGCAAGATACCAGGGGGAGTTTTTCTTATATTATCCTTTGGGGAAGAAAAATAATTTTCCAATTCCAAATGTTTACGTGTTTGGATTTTTAAAAAAGCGTTTAGAAACTGGTTTAGTAGTCAGAATCTAATTACAATTTTGAATATTTTTCATACATTACGAAGATGTACAAAGCAGATTTTGAGGAACGTCTCGTCTGACCCTTAAGATAACACATTATACTTCCCCATAATGAAAGCTTATGACTCGACATTTAATTCTCGATACATAACATATAAAATTTGTATAATTTGGGTTTTTTTTCAGCAATACAGATTTCTTAAAAAGAAGTCTACATGCGTAATCAAAAGAAACAAAAAATTAAATAATGAGTTCAGGATCTTGTTTTCTGAAATTATTTTATCACTTTATTTTAGGCTGTAGTTAACGGACAAAAATATCGTCATCGTCTTCCACGTAAGTAATAGTGCGCATGCGTGTAATATAAAAATACATAGTTGTTAATTTTTTTTTTACTTTAAAAATCGACATAATAAGATCCCCTGTAGAGTGATACAGATTAATCAAAATACCATTTTAAAGAGACATTAATTAACAAAACAATACGAAATTAATTTATGTACATATATTCAAATTTATTAGTCTTTGATTCACATGATACAATTTTTCTAAAAAAAATCGAATGATGTGGTTTTTTTTTCTTAATTTATCTTTATTTTATTTATATAGCAAATATTATCTGTACTTTACCACAAAAACCCGGTTTGTGCAAAGCCTATATGCCCCGGTATTACTATGACGTCAAAACAGGCACCTGTCAGCAGTTTATTTACGGAGGCTGTGGTGGAAATTTAAACAATTTCCAAAATGAAGAACTTTGTAATCGAATTTGCAATAGAAGATGTAAGCATTGATTCTTTATCACGTATTTGCTTGGCATTTCAATTAACAATATATTTCATATTTTGTATAAGGGTACTATAGAGGAAAAGCGATCAATTGTGTTACTTGAAAAAAAAATGGAATTAATCTTTCTAAAAACAAATATAATCAAAAGTAATCAGTGGTTCTTCGTTATTTATTTATTTTGCTATTTAGTTGACACAATCAAAATGAGGTCAAAATTATACTAAATAAAATTTTTAAAAAATGTGTTCACAATGTCGTAGAAAGAAGAAATCAAAGTACTCAGAAGTACAGAGAGCCGGGCTCATTTACAGAGTATAATGGATGAATCACGTTTATATTCTTATGAAAAAAATATTTTAAAACTATCAATATAATATTAGTTTCACAGTCAGTTAGTGATCTAATGCGGAATCATACAGGGTGTGAAATGGAAATCCGTATTGGGCGAGGCGAAGCTAAAAATGAAATAATCAACAAAATAGAATGTAATACATATTTAGGTCTCCTACCTTTAATTTTAATTTTGAAATGATATACGTTCCAACCATAAATTAAACTAGTTTATTCTAAGTACGCGGATTGTACATGTACTTTCTTAAACTGTCTAAAATATTGTAGAAGCATACATTTTCGTGGGCACAAAATATCGTTGATTTGTATTTTAAAAAATTTCGTGGTCATAAAATTTCGTTGTTTCGAAATTAAACTAATGCCAAAAAAGCTAAAAATATTGTGTTGGATTTATTTTCGTTGATTATATTTAAACAACGACATAAATTTGTTTTAATCCCTTAGGAATAGTTCTGCTTCACAGTTGTCATTTTAAAAAATTCGTCTGGGATTTGGTTTTACTTTTTATTGTTTAAAACGATGAAAAAAAGGAAATATAATCCCCACGAATATTTGTCGAGTATATATTATTTTACAGAAATTAAAGCTTTGAGTCGGTATTTTTCAATACTTTCAGATGTTCAAATTGTTTACCAACTCTGAATGTAATCTGATCCCTCCATTTAATTTTGAAGCAGCGGTTGCTCAATTAGATCATTTTTCTCTGTTCAAAGAAATTTAGATCCTATTATTCTTTATAACCGCCAGTCTAATGCATGTATATCCTTTCTTTAAAATTAAAAGCACCACTTTGGATTTTTAAAAAAAGATGCACAAGTTTTAAAATTTAATTAGCTTTATTCTTTCATATTTATTTTTCATAGCCTGTTTGAAAGATTGTATTTTTAAATCTTTCAAACCCAACATAAATTCAAAGATAAAATTTGACCCAGATTTTTGTAATGTGGGTTATATTTTGTATTGTTTTGTAGATTTTTTTTTTAGATAGAATTATGTTTGTTATCTTCAGGTTTTAAAGTTGCATAACAAAGAATACCAAAATTAGTAAAAACGAGGTATGAGGTTTTTAAAAATCCACAAATTGTGAAGTCTTTTTGCAATTTTGTTTTTGCTATTTCAAGTTTGTACAAAAATAGGATGTCTTGATAGAGCTTGCACCATCCAAAAATGTCCAGCCTTTCCCCGGGCCAGCTGCATGTGAGTATAGTCTTAATTAATAAAAAGATTCATAAGCTTGGTGACTATTAAAAACTACTTCATTTTTAAATCATTAAAATGAAGAAGTATGTTTTAAATCACTTCAGTTGCATAATGTATAACATAACTGTGTACCATGTATAACTGCCCCACAAATACGTCGTGTGATATTTAAGGGAGCCTTATGTGTATATAAGGAGACTTTATTTGGTTTAATCATATTGGCAATCTTAATTCGCATTTCGATAATTTTTAAAAAAAAATGTTTTCTTATTTAAATAGAAGGATCTTTTTTGAAAAATTAACATCGTTTTTTTTCTGATGACCATTTCTTAATCCAAATACAATTTTCTCTTTGATAGACCTGTGTGTCCTTGTGAGTCACTTTGGATCTATAACGGAAAGGATGTTACGGCCAAGTGTTACAGCAAAGGATAGTCAACTCATTGGAGAAAATGGCGCAAAATTCAAATATGCTGATTCCAAAAAAAGATGTAAAGCTGCTCCTGTGTTGTGAAAATATATGCTTATTTAAACAACTAAAGAAATGCAATAAATTAAATAAATAAAAAACAAGTTTGTTTTTTTAATATGAAGGTTGCATTTTTCCTCTAAATTACACATATGTCCGCCTTTTTTAAAGATTAGTAAGAAATTGAAATACTGGTGTCACAGAGATTAGACTAAAGTGTATGTTTTAAACTTGGATATTTTACAAGGAAAAAAAAAAACGTTCATGGTAAACTAATAAAAAAAAACTTTATGAAAAGTGTTATGACAAACGTTGTATCGCCAGCTTCCCTTACTTATGCATCAATATGCTTCCGTCACCTGCATACAGGGTTTATATCAGTCGATTCCTTAAGCAAGAGCATGATCTACGTATGAAAAATTTCTTAAACGGGGTAAATTATTGACAAACAAGATGTTAAAACGAGAATATCAACAGTCTGTTTTAAAGTCATCATTTCGCAAGTTCTTTTGTCAATACAATGACCTTGTCAGCAAATGCAATGTAGTATAACATCAAATGCTGACTGAAGTTTTCCATACTGATTGTTTATCTATTAGTAACGGAGTAATTATTGGCAGATTTCTCTATTATTTCTCAATCAGGACAAGGAACACACGGCAGGTGTGACTGGTCGTCAAATGGTGCTCAAGAATTTGTCGAATAGACAAGTCGATCTTAAGTTGATACACCAAATCATATGGTTTGATTTTATATTATTGACGTCTCTGTACTTTAACGAAATGTTTAATTCAATATGTCACTAAACAACCGCCTACGGATATTTCTTAAATTTTATTAAAAAAATTTATAAAGTAGAAAAAAGAACAGATAAAGATCACAGTTTTAACCAGCTAGTAACTCATCATCTTTCCCGTAGCACGATTATATATTGCCTATGGATACGATTTTCTTTTAGTTTTCCTGACTATAACAAGGAACATGGGATGCCCATTCCTCCATGTTGCCTTATCCTACTTCTGCTGATGTTTAAGAGGTCTGTGTTTGCGATGCACAAGATATGTATTGTTTCAATGGATCTTTGTACTTTATCAATGTTCATGTTCATAATTTCAAGTAATTAAAAACAGAATCAGATAATAGATAACATCAATACTTAGAAATGTCGGTTTTTTTATTAAAGTAAGCCCATGATTGTATTTGGGGATAGGCTGGGAGAGAAGAAATATTGCAAAAATCGTTAAAATTATTCATTTTGAATCCTAATTTGCTGGAATTCAAGAAAAAAATAATATCTTAGAGATTGTGTCATCTGAAACATTTTTTAAACAGAGTTCATTGTTTTAATCTTATCACTTGTGTTTGAATTATTTATAGTTCTGCAATTGCCTAACATCCAACATTCTATCAAAATGTTTTCACCTGAACCTGATGATTAGACACATGGATATATAAATATACATGTATATTATTTTGAAGTGAATGCGACGATTGCGCTACTAATTCAGTAGTGCATTTTAATACAGCCACAAAATCGTGTAAAGAAACTTGAAAAAAAAAATAGAGGAATGGTTTATCTTTGAAAAATCAACCTGAATAACACGAGTTAACATAACTTTCATTTAGAAGAAAGCGAATTTGTCCCTTAACTTAAAAAAAAGAAAAATACAATTCATACTATTTAGGAAAACCTGCTTGAAAATGAGATTTTAACAAGAGGGGTGGTAAAGACAGCAACATTTTAAATTTCAGAAAGTAAATATAGGATTATTGCAGTTTAGTACGATGGTCAAGGATTGGTTTTCTTTTTCAATTACTCAGTATATTTAATGACGTATTTCATTGCTTCTTTAAAATGGTACTTGCTATCATAAATGTAGTATCATTTTTTTTTCAATATTCTCGTTATTTCTAAAGTTATTCATTAAACTTTTTTGTTGTTTATTGGATCATGACTCACAATAAAATTGATTTTAATGCGAGTGGTCGTGATCATAAACAGAACTGTCATTAGATGCATCCTGTTTTATTGAATACAATATGTTTTCATATTCATTGCATTTCATCACGAAAATTAACACCTTACCACCCAAAAATATTTTGTGTGCAGGGTTTCAGTGAATTTTTTTCAATTTTTTGATGTATTTTCTATTGGGTATACTGATTTTTAAATGTATAAATTTTAAATGTAAAAATAACCCTGTTTTAATAGATAATTCGATCCATTGTATTCATTGTTAATGCACGTATACTCTGTATTTATTTTAATTTTGAAGAGACGTTTAACCTTGTCTCGATAACAATTTTATGCTTCTAAGAATTATGCTGTTTTCGTATGAGCCATCCCTTTCAAATAACTGTTGATAATTCTTGATATCTTTTTTCCTTAAATTCGGGAATATATAATGTTCAATTAATATTCATGTTTTTATAAAAAAAATAAACAAACAAACTATAGAAAGGGAAAATGCATACAGATGATAATTATTCTTTGAAGGATAACTTTTACGAATTACATTTTATTCACAGTATCGTGAGCTAATGGAGGTAAATCATCTTTGGATTCTTTAATGACTGGTGCAGAAGAAAAAAAGTAATACAGATTATAATCATCGTAGGGAAAAACAGTCGTTGAAGGTTACGTGGTAAAATCACGTGATTCATGCGGACTGACGCGTGCTGGTGTATAAAATATAATATGAAATTTACTACAATATGAAACAGACATCCAAACAGACAGCAATGGAACGATATTTACTATTAGGATTTGTATTGACCGTTGTTTTCGTGAGTAAATACCGTAAATATTCCTATAAATATTTGAGATATTATAAGTTCTTGTTAAGGGGTAAAATATTCATTTTAAAGTACAAAATTTCCATGCACCAAGAGCAAATCGTTAAACATATAGCCCTTCCTTCACAATGATTTTCATTTTGTTTTCGAATAACTTTTTAATTGTCTTTTTCTATTTTTTAATTTTTTTTATCGTTATGGATATTTCTTTTGAACTGAATTTTGTTGTTCGTAATTGTAAGGTTTTAAGTTTTTTTTTTTTTTGCTTTTTTTAATATCAGTAACGAATCAAATCCCTTATTGGTAGGTGTGTGCTTATCGACCACATCAAGATAGTGTCATGTAGAATATTTTTTAAGAAAAGAAATGAGCAAATATTGGTAACAAACTAAAGCAATCCTAAATAAACGTATCCATTAACAAGGAACACACGGCGGGTGTGACCGGTCAGCAGATGATATTCACTCCTCCATGGCACCTGATCCCACCTCTGATGTTTTGGAGGTCCATGTTTCCTCTGCTCCTATTTTGTATTGTTTTTTGGACTTTCATATTCTTCGTTATCTCCATATTCTTCACTTAACGAGGCCCGATCTAGAACGAGGCCCGATCTAGTTGAAAATTACGAAAACGGAATGATAAAAAAATTTAATTCTTGGAAATATATTTGTATGTTTTATGCTTAGAAAAATTAGAATGAAATTTTGTTACCTTGTCTTTATTGTAGTCAAATGGGGGCACTGTCAAAATATGGACCATTTGTCGTGTTTTTATACACAATTACATACTAAAACTCAATAAACATTGAAATTTACAAATTTAAAAAAAAATACATGATGAAATTCTTTGTTTTTCACATATATTATGCAATTTTCATTCTTCTTATAAAAATGAAAAGAAAATTGGAGGTAGCCTTTATTGCAGTGAAAAGGGGGCATGTCAAAACACAAAATTTGGATTTATTCTATCCAACTACGTATTTTATAGGTCGCAATTGGTTTACCTAACACCAACAAACGATTGCAATACTGTATTAGTTTCTAAAAAATAAATAATTCTTACAGTATGAAATAATTTTCTCGCCATGCTTTATTTTTCTCTTGACATGCAACGTTGTTTTACGTGGAAAAAAGGGGTAGAGGGGGGGGGGGTAAAGACTACAAAACTGCGATTTTTACTAATATCTTGTAACATACAGAAAAACTAGAATATTTCAGGGGTTGCCATTAAATGATTTATAGACTTATTTTATTTCTTAAAACTGAAGATAATCCGCAATAAAAAGAGTGCGTATAAACACTTCAACATGTTCAAAGAGAAAGACTAAAATCGTTTACTTTTTGTTGCAGTGTTTGTTTTTTTTAAACTCACAAATTGA